CAGATTCAATAGTAGAGTACGTAAATCCAAGAAGCAGACCATCGATTTGGAATATAAGGAAGCAAAAAACGCCCAATCAGAACAGCAAAAAGAAAAAAGAATCCAAAAAAGTGAGGATAGTGTAAGGAGCCTCTGGGACAACTTCAAGCGTGCCAACATTCACATATTGGGGGTGCCAGAAGGAGAAGAGCGAGAACAAGAAATCGAAAACCTGTTTGAAACAATAATGGCAGAAAACTTTCCTAACTTGGTGAAGGAAACAGACATACAAGTCCAGGAAGCACAGAGAGTCTCAAACAAGATGAACCCCAAGAGGCCCACACCAAGACACATCATCATCAAAATGCAAAAGATTCAAGACAAGGAGAGAATCTTAAAAGCAGCAAGAGAAAGTCAGCTAGTTACCTACAAGGGAGTTCCCATAAGGCTGTCAGCTGATTTCTTATAGGAAACTGCAGGCCAGAAGGGAGTGGCAAGAAATATTCAGAGTGATGAAAAGAAAGAACCTACAACCAAGATTACTCTATCCTGCAAATCTGTCATTTAGAATCGATGGCCATATAAAGACTTTCCCAGACAAGAAAAAGTTAAAGGAGTTCATCACCACCAAACGATTATAGGGTGTTTTTGAAGAAAAAGATAAAATATATGAACAAACAAAATGGCAATGAATACATGTCTATCAACAATGGAATCTACAAACAAAATGAACAGGTAGAATAGAAACATTCTCATAGATACAGAGAACATTTTGTTGGTTGCCAGATGGGAGGGGGTTTGGGGGAATGGGTGAAAAACATGAAGGGATTAGGAAGTAGAAAATCATTGCTAGACTGACAAACCTCAAAGGGAAAGGGGTTAGGGGGTGGGTGGGAAGAAATAAACCAAAGAACTTATATGCATAACCAATGGACACGGCCAATAGTGTGGGAAAAGGGGGGAGGGGGGCGGGAGTGGGGAGGAGGGGGTCAATGGGGGAAAAATGTGGAACATCTGTCATACATTCTACATTCAACAATAAAGATTTAAAAAACAAAAAAAAAGCACCAAACAAAAAAACAAAACAACAACAAAAACTTAGTAGGAGGCACATGTTATTTTCCCCTTATTGCAGATAAAGGCATTAAGGCTAATAGAGATTAATTTTTTTTCCCTAAATCACACAGCAGTTCTGTGAGAGACTTGATTTTTCCACTTAATAACAATATTTTGATTATTCGAAGCACAGCTCCCGGTTTCTGGAAAAGTCGTCTCATGCCGGTAACGGCTGTTCCTGTCACATCTTTGGGCTCTGCTCCAGGGAGCTTATCTGTGCTGAGCACAGCTGCCCCAGGCCCTTGGCTCCTCACCACCTTGAAGACCTTCCCTTTTTTTGCTACTAGGTGTTAGGACTCATAAGGCAACATAATTCCTAAGGGCCATGTTGCAAGCTTCCCACCACAGGGGAACAGGCTGGACAAGAGATGCCGAACACCAGGAATCAAACCATGTAAGGAACCAAAACTGCCAAAGAAGCACCGATCGCACATCCGCATTCCTGTAGACCTGCCAAACCCACCAACCAAGACCCCAAAACCCACTGACGACAAAAGCTTCCCACCAGTGGACCCATATAAGGATGAGACCCCAGCTCCTAAGGGCTGCCGTCATCGACCCAACACCCCACGGCTCAGTGATGTGCAGCTCTTCCCTCTGGAGACCCCCACCCCACCCCTTTTTCTTTTTCTTTCTTTCTTTTTTTTTTATCCTCACCCGAGGACATTTTTCCATTTTTTGATCAGATAGAGTAGGAGGGAGAGAGAGAGAGAGAGAGAGAGAGAGAGAAACATCGACATGAAAGGGACACATCGAGTGGCTGCCACTTGCACGAGCCAACCAGGGCCAGGGACAAACTGCAACCGAGGTACGTGCCCTTAGAGGAAACCGAACACGGGTCTCTCTGGACCGTAGGCCGAGGCTCTCATGCTGAGCCAAACTGGCCAGGGCCCACCCCTTTTTCTTAACTCCAGTTTTCCGTTATTCACCTTCTGGGACTATTTCACCTGCCCGTGTACCGCATCGCCGACTTGCCTTTCCCTGGGGAAAGCTCAGTCAGAGCTGCCAGGGCACAAGTCTGTTCTCTACTTGGCACTAGCTGGGTGGCCTCAGGCAAGTTACCTTCGCTGTACGCACCTGTTAAGAGGGTTTAGCAATAGTCCCTACCTTTTAAGATCATGGCAAGGATTAAATGAATATATATATAAAATTTTCAATAAGCTTTGGCTATTATTATTTTCATTTTCTTAACTTTGGGGGTCAGAGAACCTTATTTATTATCTATAAAAATGGTATATCCAGCCCAGCCAGTGTGGCTTAGTTGGTTGAGGGTCGTCCCATGCACCAGTCAGGGCACACGCCTAGGTTGTGGGCTCGATCCCCAGTAGGGGACGTGCAGGAGGCAGCCAATCGGTGTTTTCATCTCTCTCTCCCTTTCCCTTCCTCTCTCTGAAATCAGTGGGGAAAAAAAGTATATGCCGTTATGTATAACAACAGCTTATAATTCATGATATTAGTGGAAAAAAGATGCTTTAATGAAAATACCTTTTAAACATTGTGTAACCATAGACCATCTTTAATTCTGAAACCTCTCCTTGTCTTCAATTCTGGGGTCATAAGCCACTGGTCTTTTCAGGCTTCATTCCATTTAGGTTTAGTTTTATAGTCAATAGAAGATGCTGTGGTATTCTTTTTTACCCTGTAGATTTTCAGATTGTGTATACAAGCCTAGTTCTGCTACTGATGTCGTCTTTAACAAAGCCTAAAACACAGAGCCCTGTATCCCATTCTAGTCTCCATACTTTGCAGAACATTCTTTCAGAATAGCCTCATCGTTTACATTGTTTCTTGCTGTAGTGAGATGCCACACCCCTTTCTGCTAGACGGTGCCTAGGCTGATGGTCCCTCAGAGGTGACTGCGGCTATAGAGGCCAAGAGGTTGGCTCCCACAGCTGCCCTGCCCCAGCAACTTTGCAGAGCTTTTTGGTCAACCTCCTGGGGCTGACCCTCTTAGGTTCATTGTTTCTAATCCTGTGTCCAGGTACAGGTGCCCAGCTATTCCCCTTCTGCTTCTGCCTACAACCTGGGTCCTCTGTCTATACCCCTAGCCTAGGCAGATTCTGTCTGACATGCAACTCCAGCCTCAAGACCCACAGCCCTGCTGTGCTCCCTGGCCAAGTCATGAGCTACAATCCCCAAACCAACCTTTTAAAAAAGCTATTGATTTTTTAGAGAGAAAGAGAGAGAGAGCGCAAGCAGAAGCATCAATCTGTTGTTCCAAAAATTTATGTATTTAATGGTTGATTCTTGTATGTGCCCTGACTAGGAATCGAACCCGCAACCTTGGAGTATTGAGACTACACTCTAACCAACTGAGCTACCCGGCCAGGGGCAGAGCCAACCTTTTGAGATATGAAAATTAGCTCCCACCTTTAACCAAAGCTTTTGGAAAGAAAACTATATCTGTAGCTTTGCTCTGGTTTTTAAAAAAATCCTCAAAATATTTATGTTCAGAATCAGTGGTTTACCCCACTCACACTCCGCCTTTAATCAGCTTTGTTTCTGCGTGTTCCTTCCGATTCCTCCTGCTTGTAAAAATTAATCTTGAACTTTGGTAAGGGAATTTCTAATTCTTTGATACCTCACTTTTGGATTTCTCCTTGTTTACTAAATGGATAACCTATTTTACTTTGGGGAGATGACAAGGAACCCAGAGGTTCCAGCCACTCAGAAGCAGCAGACGTGGTTTGTGGGTGTCTGTTGGGGGCGGAAGGCCGTGCACAGCAGGTATGTAGATGGAACTGGGAAGTCAGCGGCGCAGCCTCCTCCTCAGTTAGGTTGGCCCAGACGGCGTATCACAGCAGTTACCCCGACAATGGAAACGGCTGAGATTCGGTGAGCACTGCCTCTGCTTCGGGTGCTCTCGTGCTTTCTCTGTTCACCCCTCACACGGACCCTGTGGGCCCCGAGAAAGAAGACACCTACTGAGAAGGGCTCCTGGTAGCTAATGTGGCTCAAATTTAAAAACAAAAAACAAAAAACAACCTAGCAGCCGTTTCCACGCAGGGCCTGTCACACAAACCACTTTGGCGAGAAGCCCGCCTGCCCGCCTCGTGTGCCCCGCCCCGGAGTCAGCCCTTACGGGGAGCTCCTGTTCCACTCCAACCGAGGGTCTGAGACGGCCCCTGTCCTCCCTGTCCGCCAGCATCTTCCCAGCCAGTCAGAGGCTTTATTCCGACTAATCTGGACAGTGCCTTATGGGTCAAACTGTCGGCCTGTAGAGTCTATAAAAGCCAGCTCCGCTCCAGCTCTGGGAACCACTGTCCCTTCCCACCCCACCTGAAGACTGAGTGTCCCTGACCGGCCGAGGGCAGCGGGCCTTCGGCAGCTGGCACGCACCGGAGCCTGCAGGACCCGGCTGGACCCGGCACTGAGCCGCGTCACAACTGAGCTGTTTGCCCCGAAGGACGGTTCCTTCTTCACCACACCCTACATTGGAGACTCCTGTTGGCCCTGAATTGGCCCCAGTGATCGCTGGTTGGCAACCTTGTAAAGTAGGGGCTTTGCCCTTATTGTCCTGCCCGCACCTCCCTGATTGCTCCCTCTAAAACATTTACCTTTCATTATATCTACCTTTTTACCCTCTGTCCAGGGGATTGGCCCCAGTTCAAAATCACATTTTTGAGTAGGGGTACCCTTCCCAATGTCTAAGAGCAGATTTTAGAGTGTCTCCTTGTGGTGCTTGTTGATCCTACAAAGACACAACACACACATACCCTCCTGACAGATAAGCACAACTCCACGTATGCACACTGACTCACACGGACGCGTGTGCAACCCACACGAACAGACACACACGCCAACACGCCGAGCCTGCAGCTGCCTGGCCGGCCGTCTTCCTCTCCTGAGCCACATGAGCTGGAAAGACGTGGGACCTGCCTGCAGGAAGTGAAACAGAATGTGAGCTTTCCCTGCCCCGGCCGCCGGCGGAGGGCCTGGCGAACAGTCTACAGTTTCTGGAGCTGCTCTGAGGTACCTGGGGTCCCCTGGGGTGGGGGTCTGGGTGAGCACTGGCTGGTGAGGTTACTGGAGGTAACTGGGAAGCTGAGCGCTTCCTCCTTGGTGACCTGGCGGCCGCCTTTCGGGGGGAGGAGCACAGACTGTCTCCACAGTCAGGTTTGGAAAGCAGTTGTGGGCCCAAGGACATTTACTCAGAATCACAGATGTGCATGGTCTGTTTCTTTGTTTTTAGTCTGGAAACAAAGTGTTTTTATAGTTTTCATTCATCCTCTTTTCAAAGTAAAGAAACATTTCACAAAGAGAGAAACAAGATGAAGTAAATATAACAAAAAGGGATTTTTTTCTTGTGCTTGACAATGCTGGTCCTGACCAGTATTAGCTACATTTTGTGCAGCAGACCAGGAACAGTACTTCTGGGGTCCTTAGAGAGGATGGAGGGAGAGGCTGGAACGAGGTGGCCTCTGCACTGTGTCACGGAGGAGAGCAGGACGCGGGGCTGGGCTGCTGAGGGGGGCGTGCAGCGTGGGCGAGATGGAGCGGTGACTGGGTATCGCCGTCCTCTTGCCCTACACACTTGAGGTGCAGGCAGACACTGCAGTCCGAGGAGGCTCAAGGGCCCGATGAAATGGAGGGTTCTTCAGAAGTGCAGCCCTCGTACTTGCGGGGAGAGCCCCACCACCCCGGGAGGCCGGAGGACACTGTCCTCCGGGTCCTCCTTGAAAGGTCCCGAGGTCTGCTGGACCACAGAACATCCCACGCTGGCCCTGGAGACAGCCTAGGTATAATGTATTCCAGTGACTATCAACCTTTTCATTTTTGTCATATCTCTGCACCTCTATTTACTTACATTTTTCTTTAAATCAACTTGCTTAAGTTTTTTGATTCAGTCTAAAGTGATATTTTGTGTCACCGATGTTACACACTTTGAGAACCACTGACCTAGTCCAACTCACCCTTTTCACAGGTGAGGAAACTGGGACCAAGAGACACTGCGTATTTCCCACGGCCTCACAAAGGTACTAATTTGGACTGCTCCTGAGCTCTCCTAATTCACAGTTTGATTCTTTCCAGTATAATACATCATACTTTCGAGTACATAGAAACAATCATTAAATGTGATTCAGATAGATAACCCATGTAAAACCTGCTGAACATAGTGCCTCCAGGGACTCAGTAAGTGTGTTTCTTTCCTTCCCCGCTTAAGTCCCTGCTCACTGCTCACGGGAACTAGTTGCTCCCTGAAAGCTGTTAGGGTCATTTTCATGCTAATATTCTGAAATATCAAGATGATGTACCTCATGTCTCTGTTGAGTAATTGATTGTGCGGTGCTAGGTACTTAACAAGTCTTATCAAACTAGAGACACAGGTCTTCGGTTCTGGGACAATTTTATTTTTTTCCTTTTTTTCCCCCATTCTATAAATAAAATTTCTTTATTAAAAGGCTTCCTCCATTTTTCTTTTTGTGCAATTTGCAAAACTCTTCTGATAGCAGAATATATGTGCATGAGCCGCAAAGAGTACAACTTTAGGACATGGTAAATGCTTTATAAGTTACTTAAAAAAACTGCCACAGCTGGGCCATTACATTGCCATCTTTTATTTTTTTAAATGTGTTTTTATTGGTTTTTTAGAGAGAGGAAGGGAACGGGAGAGAGAGAGAGAGAGAAACATCAATGAGAAACATGGATCGCCTGCCTTCTGCACGGCCCTGCTGGGGATCGAGCTGAAACCCAGGCGTGTGCCCGAAAATCCAACCAGGACCTCTGAGACCATGGGACGAATCCACTGAGCCACACTGGCCAGGCACTGCTATCTTTTTTTGATCAAAATATTTGATTCCAGTCTTCCTTCCACTGCCTTAAACTAGAAAAGAAGAAAGTTCTACCAGTTTGAGGTTTCAGAATCTCCCCCAAACCAAGACCAGGGCCCTGGCCAGGGCCAGGCTGGGCTGCGCGTCTGCGCAGGGCAGCTGGGACAGTTCCTCGCATTGTTTGTTTCATTTCTTTTTCCTTCTGAAATAGCTGTGATTTGGGTGTTGGATTTTCTGAATCAATAACTTCAATTTTATTCTCTCCTATTTTGTTCTATTTTCTAAAAGATTTTCTTCAATTCCATCTTTTAATGTTGCTAGTACATTTTTAAAATTTCAGCTTTCATATTTAAATTTCTAAAACCTCTCTTTAATTTAGTTTATTTTTTGTTCCTACTTTAAAAACGCAATATCTTTTCTTACCGCTGTGCGGATGTTGATTATAATTATTTTGACTTTTTCTTCTATTTCCTGCATCGCCTCCTCTTCCTTCCGCTCCCCCTCTGTGTGTCATCTTTACGTTTCTCTGTCACGTTAGAACCTTTCTTCACAGGCCTTGTGATGAATGCTCTGCTCTTTGGTCATGTTTAAAAGTGAAACAGTAGTCTGGTGGTGTGGCTCAGTGGTGGAGCGTCGACCCAGGCACCAAGAGGTCGCCGGTTCGATTCCTGGTCAGGGCACATGCCCAGGTTGTGGGCCTGATCCCTGGTGAGATGCATGCAAGAGGTGGCCAATCGATGTTCTCTCTCATTGATGTTTCTCTCTCTCTCTCTCTCTCTCACTTCTCTCTGTGAAATCAATAAAGGTCCGGTAGGTGTGGCTCAGTGGTTGAGCATCGACCCATGCACCAAGAGGTCACCAGTTCAATTCTTGGTCAGGACACATGCCAACGTTGTGGGCCAAATCTGCCCAATCCCCAGCACGGGGCATGCAGGAGGTGGCCAATCGATGTTCTCTCACATCGATGTTTCTCTCTCTCTCTCCCTTTCACTTCCTCTCTAAAATCAATAATGGAAAAAAAATTTAAAAAGAAAGAAAGAAAGAAAATAAATAAATAAAAGTGGAACAATAAAAATCGAATTGCAGTGTTTTGCTCTATGCGTGAGCAGGGTTTGCTGGCGGAAAGGCTCCGCTACCAGGAGGCCTCGTGGTAACCTTCCATTTGGGAACCCTCCTTGTCTGTACCTGGAGGTCTTTTCTCTGGGGTCCCAGGGGAGAATCCTCCCATATGCCGCCTCCTGGTAACCTGAGAACAAAGCACGGAAGGAACACTGACACTTAAATCTGTACATTTTCACTTACTACCCTTTTTAGCCCCATGGAGTTCATTGGGCAATTTCCTCTTCCAGGCACCCCAATGTTGGTGGGGGGCCCGTCTGGGCGGCCAGCCTTCCGCTCTCTGCTTTTGGTGGTGGTGATGTCCTCCTGCTCCGCCACATCCCTCGCTGAGGAACGGAAGCAGCTGGTCATGAGAGAGAAGATGATGCAGATAGGGGGCCGGCTGGTGCTGAAGAAGGAAGAGGAGCTGGCTAATGAGAAGCTCATGGCCCTCAAAAAGGCTGAGATGAAGCAGGCCATGAAGACCCAGCAGTTCCCACCCAGCATGCACTTTTTCCAGGCCAAGAATCTCATTGAGAAAAGTGAAGTGTTTAATATCTTGAAGAAGATGCCAAAAGGTTTGGAAGGATGGTTTGGGGGTCTCGAGAAGGCAGGGGCAAACTAAACTTTACTGTTATTGGAGCTGCTATTTTTCTAAATGGAGCAGAGAGAATGTCACTCAGCTGCCCTGAGCCTTGCTGCTCGCTGCTCAGGGTGGCTGCTGGACCATCCTGCTTCTGAGGGGCCCAGCCTCTGAGCGAGCAGGAGGCGGGCCCTGGGTGTTTGCCTTCCCTGACCAAGCTGAAAAGTACCGCCCGTGAGACAGCGTCCGGGGCCATCGGACCCTAGTTCTCCCCTCTGTCTTCCCTCACACCCTTTCTCCTAGTTTTTTCCAGGGGCTAAGTTACCAAATAGGATACACGAATAGCATCCTGGATACACACATTTCTAGTAGGATATTTCTATAGTATGAACACATTTTTATGAAGAGTAAAATAATTGCCACCCTGCACACATAAATAGCAGTTTGTAGCTTATAAGGATTTGACCTTTTTGGCTTAATGTTATAAATAGAGATTAAAAACATAAAAACTGCGCCCTGGTCATTTTTGCTCAGTGATTAGAGCAGTGACCTATAGACCAAAGAGTCTCGGGTTCAATTCCCAGTCAAGGGCATATACCTCTGTTGAGGGTTCAATCCCTGGTCCCAGTCAGGGTTGTGCGGGAGGCAACCAAACTATGTGTCTCTCTCACATGGATGCTTCTCTCTCTCTCTCCCTCCCCCCTCCCACTCCATCTAAAAAAAAAAAAAAAAAAATCAATGGGAAAAATATCCTCAAGTGAAGACTAAAAAGTGAAACTGTGAGGTGGGTACAGTAACACCCCAGCTGATGGAGTAGACGACTTAGAGAGGGCGACACACCACAGCCCCACAGCAGGACGCCTGTGGGGCAGTGTCCGGCCAGGGCTGCGACAGAGTGAGAACAGCAGAGGGACAGTGTGTGCTGCACCCGCAGGGGCACCAGGGCCAAACTGGTGTCAAGTCTAAAGGTCAAGCCTGGGCCCCAAATGCAGAACTTGCAGACCAGAAGTTCCCATGGAGGGCAACGGGCGGGCACTGGGGAGCAGGATGAGAGAAACCGGGTGGGAGCAGATGGGAGGCCCGTTCCTGCCGCACCCTTTCATGCAGCGCTGGGTGGCAAGGCTCGTTCAAGGCCTGGGCTGTCCCGGAACAGCGAGCCGCGGACGAAGCCCCAGTGTGAACCGGACTGAAGCCCACCCCGCGCTCTGCTCTCCCTGCCTGCCCAGGGGCTGCCTTGCATGTCCACGACTTCGGCATCCTGAGCATGGACTGGCTGGTGAGCAACGTCACGTACAGGCCCCACTGCCACTTCTGTCTCACCCGAAACGGAGTCCTGATGTTCAAATTCGGTCACCCAACTCCTCCCACCCCGCCAGAATGTTTAGAGTGGATTTTGTTGGAGAAGTATCGACAGAAACTGCAAAACGTCACCGAGTTTGACAGCAGGTGAGTGGAGGTTCATGATGTGTTGTGTGCCCATCATGGGTGGGGTGTGGGTGTCTGTCTTGGTGCCCACACAGATCCGGCCTTTAAAAAGTCAAAAGGCTTTTTCTTTTAACTTTGCAGGATACTTTGCTTCACAAAGGCATTCAATACCTTTTCTGTCCATGGGAAGTTCCCGGTACATTTAAAATCTAATTTAACCAACAAACGGTATTAATAGCAATACTGCTTTTACATCAAGTGAAATTCGTCTAGATGCTCACTAAGACCAGAAAGAGGAAAAGCTCCCAGGTCCTAGAGCAACGACAGTATAGCTGGTAATGAAACAGCTGGAAAACATGGCGGAGTAATTTCCCAACCAACTTCTATAGAAATAAGTGATCATTATTTTAATCATGGAACCATCTATGGATCGCTCTCGGGAGGTTATTCCCCTTGACAAATAGGAAACAGGAAGCTCAGCACAGTGAAGAAGTTGCCCAAGGCCTTAGCTGGTAGATGGCTAATGTCAACATTAGAAATGTCCAAACCTGTAAGAATTTTTATGAGTTTATTTGAGCCAAACTGACGACAATTGCTGCGAAGCAAAGTCTCAGCAGATTGAGATCATGCTCCAGAGAAGGGCGGTTTTGCACCTTAGCTTATACACTACAGTCATAGAGGAGGCATAAGGGTTACATGAGATCCACTGGTGATAGTTCAGGGAGGCGGGACAAAGCAAAGTGAGGAAGTCTCTGGGACGGATAAAAAGCAAACTGACTGACACACCTTTACATTTGTGGTATAGGGTAGTGTTAGCAGTTAGCAATGATAATAATAATAATAACAATCAAAATAACAATGAGGGGTTTTGCATTTCTCCTCTGGTGCAGAGAGGGGTCTGGAAAAAAGGAAGTTACCCTGACATTCCAAATGTAGGTTATTGTAGATGCAAAAAGACAATAGACAGGCTCAGTTAAAGTAAAGGTTGACCTTTGTCAGGGAAGATGCCAGCCATGACTCAGTTTTAGTTAGAAAGTTTTAAGTTCAGACCATCCTATGTGGTTACTTAGGGCCCCGAGTCTCTAAGGCCTGCCATGAGCTTGTCAGGTTTAGTATGTGGGTGGCTCCTTTCTCGTTCACACTAATCAGGATATAAACCTGGCCATGTAGGGCCCATCCAGGGTTATTTCCAGGAGCCCCCTGTATTAGTACAGGACTGCCGTAACAGACTAGAGCAGACTGGGGGGCTTCAACAGTAGACCTTTGTTTTCTCACTGTTCTGGAAGGTAGAAGTCCAAGATCAAGGGGTGCACATGTTGGTTTCTCCTGAGGCCTCTCCCCTCGGCTTTCGGACGACACCTTTTCACTGTGTCCTCATGGGGCCTTTCCTACGTGCACACGCACTGCCGGTGTGTCTTACAACAATCTTATTTGATATTGGTCACACCCTTATGCTTTCATTTAATTTTAATTACCTCCTCAAAGTCCTATCTCCAAATACAGTCACAGTGGGTGTAGGGTTTCAATATGTGAATTTAGTGGGATGCAATTCAGTGCATAACACCCTGCAAAGAGAGCTTGGTCTAAGATGTAAGTACAGCGGGGTCAGACGGACTAAGTATGCAGAGGGAAAGAGGAGAGCCTGGTTCGGGGGAATGTCCCGCCTGAGCTGTCTCCTGGGGGGTGCAAAGCAGGTCTCAGGGTGGAGGCCGCCATCAAACCTGGATGCTTCCCGTGACCTCTCGCCACTGCTCGCTATGATGCATCCGGTGTTACTGGGCGGGAGAAGCAAGGCGGGTAGGACTCCCGCAGATGCCGGGAGGCAATGGCCTGAGCATGCCTCCGCAGCTCCCCTCCTTTGTGCCCCGGACAGCCTGCTGAGGAATTTCACTCTGATGACCAAGGACCCCGAGGTGACTTACGCAAACCAAGACATCGTCTGGTCTAAGTTTGAAGCCATCTTCTTTACGATCTCTGGTCTTGTTCACTATGCACCAGTGTTCAGAGACTACATCTTCCAGGGCCTGGAGGAGTTCTACCAGGACAATGTGTTCTACCTGGAGCTCAGAGCCATGCTGTTCCCGGTGAGTCTCTCTTCTCCTCTCTTCCGCTCCGGCGTGACTTTCAGATCTTACCCTGCAGGTCGTCACAGGCTCCCTGCTCTAGTACAAGTACAGGACTAAATGATGACTTCGTCCCAAGGGCACAGGTGCCTCTCTGGGCCAGCATGAGCAAGGAAACCTGAAGTGGATGGAACCGGCCCCAGCAAAACTGCTAACATGACCCTTACACAGCCCATGTCCTCAGAAGGAGACTTGTGAGTCAAAATACATGTGACAGATATTCTCGTAGATGTTAAAGAATCATTTGCAGGGTATAGAGAGAATACAGAGAAGGAAATGGTTAGTGTAAACTGATGGGTGGGAGAAAAACACCAAACCTGCATGAGGGAGGAAGGACAACGCCTCTCGTGAGTCCTGGAACTCTAGTGAGTTCACCCAGTCGAAGGTGGGCGGCGGCATTTTCCTCAGTGGGATCAGCATAAACAAAGGTACGGGTGCTATGGACACTTATTTGGAGCCCACTTGGGACTACAAGGAGTTTATCGTGACTAGATCCTAAGGTTCTAGGGATACTCGTTGAAAATAAGCCTGGGGAGGTGGACAGGGCTAATTATGAATACGTTGGGCACCATATTAAAAGTTGTATTCTATATGAAAGGGAGTCACTGGATGGTTTTAAGCAAAAGAATAGAAACACATTTTTGCAGTTTAGGAAAATCAGTCTGGAAGCACAGGGGAGAACGGATTTCAGTGCGAGGGTCTCCCTGGTGAAGAAGGGAGAGGACTGGAGGAAACTTGGGAGCAGCAAAGAGACCAGGGAAATTGTAGCTGCAAGATAAGGGCCAGAATGAAGACAGGAGCAAGGGGAAGAGATGGATTCGAGCCTTTTGCAGGAGGAAGACCCTATAGGTCCAGTGACTGACTACATGGGGTGAGGATTCTACTATGATGTGCAGGCATTCGGCTTGAATTGACTGGTGGTGACGTTTATGGAGACAGGAAATGCAAGAGGAGGAGCAGGATAGGGAGGAAGTAATGGTCACTTTGGTTTTGAGCATGTGCAGTTGGAGATGCCTGTAGACATCCACACGAAGATGTCCAGGCAGTGGATGAATTCATGAGTGTGGAGCCTAGAGGAGTTCTAGCCTGAAAACATGTTTGACATTTTTCTGCAGAAAAGTGATCATTAAAACTGTGAGAGAGGGTGAGGTTCCCAAAGAAGATGTGGGTGAGAAGAGAGTGAGTGGGTCAAGAGGGGAGCCCTGAAAGCAGCGAATAGGGTGAACACATGACCACGTGGCTGAGAAGGAGCATCACAGAGACCGGAGGGGCTAGGATGGAGCTCTCCCAGTGGCCGAGGAGAAAGGGTTCACATGGCAGGGTGATGCCAAGAAAAATGCGGGTTGGAAAGAACCCATTGGATTTGAAACTTTTGAGCAGTTTCAATGGCATGCCGAGAAGCGAAGCCCAGTTTCTAGGAGTAGGAAAATGAAATGCATGATACATTGGAGCCAGGTTTGGTTGACTAAAGGCCTTGCCTGTGATTTGAGAAAAAGAAAGAGGGAGGTAGCTGGGGAGGGAACGCAGGGCTCGGGAGGATCCTTTTTAGCATGGCGCTTACTTTGCACACATAAAGACAGAACCTGGAGAGATTGAAGTGCAGGGGAGAAAGGGAGTACGAGGTGACATGATATTCCTGGGGACAAATGAAGAGGTTACTCCAGCACGCAGGGAGCGAGACTGTCCTAGAGCCAGACAATGTTCTCCATGACTTGAGAAGAGGCAGGTGAGGGGCACGTATGGACATTGAAGGGACACGAGCGGGGAGCTAGGGGAGGCCCTGCTCGCCTCTGCACTTCTTTCACAAGCAAGGCGAGGACATCCACTGAGACCGAGGCAGTGCTGGGGACGGCGGGTGTCTGGGAGAACCACCTCGGGGACGGACAGGTTGCTGGTCCTAGGAAGATAAATTTATTCCCTCAAGCTCTGAGGGATGGATACCAGATCTCTAGTATCCATGCTAGTGCGTGAGTCCCTTCTGTAGTACTTTCCCACTGGACTAGAAAAGGGTATGATGGAGCCCAGGTTAGCAGGACAAAAAAAAAGTGAAAGAACTGGGTTGAGGACCTGAAGACAATGACAAGGGAGTGGGGGGAGTCAGCTGGAGCACACGAGGAGTGGGTCGATGAGAAGAGCAGACGGAGGGAGACAGGTGAAGGTAAAGGCAGAGGAACCTGCAGGGTGGCTGCTCAGGGAGTTAGCAACCTGGAAAGACACGAGGCGTGGAAGAAACTAGTAAATTTGAGTTTAATGTATCAAAGTGGAGCTACTTGGGTGATAAACTCCAAAGTGAGACCTCTGAAGTGTGAGTTCGAAGGGGAGTATGTGTCCCTGGGAGGCAGCATGCCCAGGAAGACCTAGATGAAATGGCTCAGAATGTCACCGGAAAGGAACAGGGTTCAAGGTGGATCTGCCTGGACATGGTCTGGAATGTGTGGGTTCTTGACTTCGTCCAGGAAAGATTTCATAACATGCATCCAGGTGATTTTGAGAGCATGGTTATTAGAGCTGGGACAGTGAAACAAAGGAAGGACTTAAGATAGAAGAAGCAAGACCATAGCAACAGGAGTGAGCCTTGACGGAGCTCCCTCGGCCTTTGGAAACGTGAGGCCAAGTGGAGCCTGGGTGCGGCTGCCTTGGCCCCTTACAAAGAAAGTCACAGAGGGAGATGCAGTGGGTCAGCTGGCTGTGTGGACTCAGGAAATAAGTTACAGAGGCTCAAGGGGGGCCCTTGGAGACAGATTCAGGGGATAAGCCCAGGACAAGCTGCTGCTGCCTGCCGTTCCCCTGGTTGCAAGCTTCGTGGGAAGAAACCCTTAGAGCTTAAGAGAAAGGAAGCAAAGATACATGTCTAAGGAAAGAAGTGGGTAAGGTGTGGGCATGCTCCAGGGAGAGTGTTTGTTGGGTCCTTTGTCTTAAGGGTTTTTATTTGTTTTCCAAAGGCAGGAATTTTAGGGGAGGATCTCAATAGAATACATATCATCTTTCCAGGTGTGTCCTTTATATGTTAATGAACCAAAATGAGCATATAGAGGGGTCAGCATCATTCTTTGGTCAATTTCACCTTCAAGGAATGTCATCTGAAAGGGACCAGACTGGATGAGGCAGGTCTGCCCCAGCACCACAGTGAATTTGCTCCTAAGTGTCCTTGGTTAAAGAAGATAAGAACTTGTGATTTATTATCTGGCTGTAAATCGCTCAGCTTTGTTTAGCTATCTGTCTCAGTTTCCCCATTCTACTTGCCAAGGAATTTTTCTAGCTTCTTACTAACCTGCGTCAAAGACAACAACAGAAGTTGGGGTGCAGGAGAGGGGCCTCTCCTAACGTAAGCTGAGAAAATGGGGTCCTCAGAACACTCTAAGAAATGGTTAAAGATGACTTTGTAGGTTTGATTTTAAGGAAGGTAGTTTGGAGAGAGTAAAATGGAAAGGATTAGAAAGAATCCCAAAGAAGGGAATGCTATCCAAAAATACATATTTTAAAACAACCTGACTTTAGGGTCTTGCATTTGGGCCAAAGCAAAGGATGATGGGGATTTCTAGTACTATGAGATGGATGGACCTCAGATTTATAAACTTGAGCTGGTAGAAGCTCAGATGTCCACACTGGAAGGAGGCATGTTTTAGGAGAGCAGCCCTCAGTGAGGAAGCTGCTACATGATTATTTTGGTCAGTCTATTGAAGACAACTCTACTGAGAACATTTCGAGGGGGGAGAATTGGGGTTTTGTAGAGATGGGCAGGATTTCTAAATTTTCTGTTTGGTATGTTCACTTGGGAAAAGTGATCTTTGGGTAGAGCTCTCCTCTATTATATCCAAATGTCAACGTAAGAAACATTTAAACCTACAGAGAATTCTTGTGAGTTTATTTGAGCCAAACTGTTGACAATTTCTGGGAACCAAAATCTCAACGGATTGAGATAATGCTCCAGAGAATGGCAGTTTTGCAATTTATTTTCTACATTAAAATCAAAAGAGAGGATGAAAGTGGGTTCCATGAGATCCATTGGTGATAGATCAGGGAGGCGGGAGAATGCAAAGCAGGGAAACCTCTGGGATTGGATGAAAAGTAAAATGATGGACGCATGCATCTTCTACCTAGGTGGGGACAGCAATGACCTCAGTAACAATGAGGGGAATTTGTGGTCTCCACAGAGTGGTGCCTGTGTTTTGAGGGGTCCAGAAAAAGGAAAATTACTTTGACATTCTAAAGATATGTTATTGTACATGCAAAAAGACCATAGACAGGCTTGGTTAAGGCAAAGATTGACCTTTGTCAGGGAAGATGCTGGTCTACGACATGGCTACCCACCATAAAGTGTTTTTAGTTAAAAAGTTTTAACTTCAGACCATCCTTGGTGGTTATTTTAGGTCTCTGAGTTTGCAAGGCCACCACGCAGGCCTCCCCTGAGCTTGTCAGGTTAGCAAGTGGCCCTTTTTGTCCACATGTCCCCCTTTTGGTCATAAATCAATTCAAAGGATACACTGAAGACTGACCTTTTGGTTGGATAACAAGGTCCCACGGTGCTAGGAAGGCTCAATGTCAGCATTTGTCTTGCTGAACAGGGTGGACAGCTGGGGATGGGGCAAGACCATAACCTTGGATGGCATTCAAGGTCAAATTATTATTAGTCAAAATAATAAGGCAGGTGAATGGGAGGCAGTTAGATCCTATATGTCCTTGTTAAAAATATTCTGGGTCATTTCCAATTTTTGAGCTACTATGATCTGAGTCTTTTTTGCTGTTTTTCTTAAGTTTTGCTTTTTCTGCACCTAGTATAACATTTACATACCAGGAACAAAAGCAACAGTATTGAACCAGTAATAATAATTAGGAACAGAAAATGTCCAACACTAGACAAGAAACGGTCTGAGGGGAATAAGCTTCCCTTTACATGTGTTATAATAATTTTTTATAAACTAATTGTATTTTTTCCTCCTTCATCTACTGTCATTTGTATC